GTGTGGTAGTGGGGTGTAAAGTCTCGGGTGTGGAGGTCTGAGTGGATTTCAAGGCGGTGCGTATGTGTGTGTGTGTGTGTGTGTGCATGTGTGCGTGCGTGTGCGTGCAGGGGTGGTTGGGGGTGTGGCTGGGAAGGCGTGCGCGCGGGAGGGTTCCAGTGCACACCATGAGTGAGATGGGTTTGTCATTTTCTGAGGCTCGGTGCTAGTAGACCGGAGCAGTGCAGTGAATGATGGTGCTCGATCTGATGCTCCACCAACGCTCCTTGCCCTGAGCCAGTACTGCTTGCGCAAAGAACCTCGTGCTCTGACGCCCTGGCTTGGTCCGTGCTCCGGGCTTTTGGACACCCTTTGACGTGTGGCTGTACATTGCTGACCCCCTCGTACCTCGTGCCTTCCAACAAGATGACATGCGCTGGATCCCTAGCGCTGCCCCGTGTCGCGTCCACTCCAATGACACCCCCCCTCTCCTCCAACAGGCTGACCTGGACGCGGGCAAGAACGGCAAGGTCATTGTGGACGGCAGCGAGGTGGAGGTGAGCGGTTGCGTGTTGCCAGGGGGTGCCCACCCGACCAGCCCCAGGAGAGGCAGCACGAGCGCGCTGTGCTGCTCGAGTGGCTGCCTCCCCCCTCCCCTTGGACCCTCCTTCTGCACAGCAGGGGCTGGCCTCTCGCAGGCCTTACCCGGTTGTTGCCTCGCCACCCACCTGCTGTTAGCCCATCCCCTTGCATCCATGCATATCTCAACCCCTTTCTCGCTAACTCCCAACACATTGTCTTAGATCACGCCCTCCATGGTGGACATCAAGCGGCAGCAGAAGCGGCTGGCGGGCCGCTCCTTCGTCCCCTCGGTCATCGAGCCCTCCTTCGGCATCGGCCGCATCCTGTACTGCATCTTCGAGCACTCGTACTACACCCGCGAGGTGCGCACGAGGCCCGCATGATGCGCTGCACCCCTGGGAACTGTGTGCGGATGAGTCACGCAAGCCTGCGGCTGTCCGAGACCCAAAGCTGGCTGTTTAGGCGCTTGCTCAAGAGCCCGTGCCCCGCTGCGCTGCCGCCGTGCCCTGGCACGCGCTCTCTGCGTGCCCACTCGGTTCGGTCCCCCTGCTGCCCCTCACCTTTCTTGCAGGACGACGAGACGCGTGCCGTGCTGCGCTTCACGCCGGTGGCCGCCCCTGTGAAGGCCACGGTGAGCTAGCGCTGGTTGCCTTGCTGGCAGGGGCGCAGGCAAGTGACCGGAACCTGGGATCAACTCCACCGCCCCTGGCAATGGCTCGAGCTCAAGTTCTACACTCAAGTGGTGATGTGCCTGCCATTGCCGGCAAACAGAATGGCACCCCCATGACTTGTACAAAACTCACCATTCAACAACCTGCTTAAGATATTTATTGACTTCGCACATCCTGACGTTGGTTTGCAAATTTTGAATGGCAGCAAACCCTGGCAATCGCCGCCAACCGTGTCTGCCCCGCCAGGTGTTTCCCCTGGTCCAGAAGGAGCAGCTCAACGCCCTGGCCACCAAGATCAGCGCGGGGTGAGGCGGCCTCAGGGGAGCAGCGGCACACGCGCCTTGTCCCATTCAGCATCAGCGCGCAGCAGGCCAAGAGCGGTGCAAACTTAGCGTCGATGAGGGTTGCGATTGATGCAAGCTGATTGCATTCTTCCCTCGTTGCGCTGTGGAAGCACTGGACCTGAAGTGCGTGTGTTGTTCTCGTTTCCATGCTGCTCGCTGTAAACCCGCCCTGCACTTCCCAACCGCAGCCTCACCGCCGCGGGCCTCAGCAACCTGGTCGACACCACTGGCAACACCATCGGCAAGCGGTGAGCGGCGCAGCTGTTGCTGCATGTCGCTCGTCCCAATGGCAATCCGCCGGCTCTAGTTTTGGAGATGCACGCACACCCGATCCCTGTCCAATACAATGTGTGCTTGCACACGCGCACATGCATGAACCAGACCCACTCACTCTATGCGATCCTCGTACTTGATCCTTGATGTCAATTCCCATCAGGTACGCGCGTACCGACGAGATCGGCGTGCCGTTTGCTGTGACGGTGGACTTCAAGGCGCTGGAGGACGGCAGCGTGACAGTGCGCGAGAGGGACAGCACGTCGCAGGTGGGGGGCCGCGGGTGCGGAGGGCGCAGTCACGCACATGCATGCATGCATGCACGCTGTGAACGGATGTTTGTGAATGGAGGGGGCGTGTGCTAATTGTCACTACTGCTCTCATTCGTCCTATACCAAGCACTTGGTGGCCGCATCCAGGCAAGCTTCTACCTGCAGCTTCTACCTGCCAGCAAGCCCTTCCCTTCTCCACACAATATCGCTGGCGGTTGGACTCTCCGCTCCCCTCCATTCTGACGTCACCCCACACCCCTCCATTCCACCCCACCCCACCTCCACCAGATCCGTGTGCCCATTGCAGAGGTCGCTGACGTCATCCGGCGGCTGGTGCACGGCTCCGCCGCCTGGACTGAGATTGCTGCGGCTTACCCGGCAGTGGAGAAGGCGGCGGCCGCGGAGGAGCAGTAAGAGACTACATAGCGTCCAGCTCCACCATGCACAATGCTGCCAAAATGCCTTTGGAATGCCACTGTGGGAAACGGCTTCGTATCCCACCCTTCCCCTGGAGGGTGGCTGCAGTGCGCAGCGCTGATTACCTTTTTGCCTGCGGTTCCTGCCACACCATTTGCTTGTAATGGTCGCCACTTGCCTGGCTGAGCGTGTAAATCTCTGATTTGCTATGTTTATCAGTCTAAGGCACTCGCCGTTGTTTCTCATGACATGTCTATCATTTTCACGGGACATTGGGGGTCCACACACCCTTCTGCACCACCATGTGATCAGCTGTGCGCTTAGTGAGGGAAGCCTGAGCCTTTCCTTTCTCAACCCCTGATAATCAGATACAGGCAGCATGGGCAGGCTTGTGCACCGCAGCTGGGGCTCACAACCGCTGCGCATCAAACCCATGTGCGCTGTCCATACTTGTCAGCATCGAGCACTTGCACCACGGGTAACTTCCCAATGAGACCTTGAACTCTGCGCTTGCCTCCCGTTCAGGTGGTCGTGTGCCCTGTGAAGGTGGCTGACAGTCCAGGTCAGCAAAGCTCAGTCGTAGGCCTCCTGCCGCTTGCCTGAGCCTGTGCGTGAGGTGGAACCTGTAATTGCTGCGTTCTGCGCTGTGGTTCATTGACACCTTAACGCATGCCTTGATCGCAGCGTGATTGGTCATTTCGTAAATTCTCAGGTCGTCCTCTGCGCTCCCCACGGCCTGTTTATCTCGTGCAGCGTATCAAATCATAGTTTCTCCTGCATGATCCGAAGATTTTGGGTAGCCATGTGTGTCAGATCACTGCCATCCCCTCAACAGTAGAGCGCCGGCGGGCAGCGCGGGCCACGGCTGCGAGCTGGTATAATCTCTACCATGGCGCTGGATCAGCGCCACCGGTTCATCATTACAAAGGCAAGCCCTAGGGTAGCCCCGCCTTCCCGCAGATCGATCTGTGTGTTGACTCTCGTATGTATGCAACCACAGATAGCAGAGGCCTTCGGCTTGGACGAGACTGTGGTCGAGAAGAAGATTCTGTGAGCGCAGGGTTGAATATGTCATGGCACACGGGGCGGCTGTTGCTGTTGCTGTTGCACTGCCGCTGTGGTGCCTCTGCTGCACCGTTTGCGCAGCGCCCTGCCCAGCGGCAGCGCAAACCTTGACGTGAGATGCGAATGTCGCCACGCCGCTTGCAGGTCTGAGAGGCAAGCCGTGAACGGCTTCTTTGAAGCCAGTGGGGCGGGGTCACTGCGCTGGTACTACCAGGTGAGCCCCACGCGCAACTCGCGAGCCCCTCCAGAGTGCCGCACACGCGCATGGGTGTTGAAATGACCAGGCGCACCTTGACAATGAGTACGACGCCCAATCCTGCTGCACATGCTTGCCGTTGCTTGCCCGTCCGCATGCCATGCATCGCCCCGCCACTGCATGCGCCCGCGCAGATCCCGGAAGAGAAGAACAAGGATGGCTTTTATGTTCAAAAGGGCACAAGGCCTCAGCTGTTCCTCAGCTCAGCGCAGGCAAGGGGGCACGGTCGTTATGCAGCAGCTCATCCTTTCTCATGTGTACCCGCCCGCTCTGCCAGCAGGCCCAGACCAACTTGCATGCGCACCCATCCTGCCATGCGGCCGCCTTCCCGACCGGTGCTGCCCATGGCGCATGCCACGGCTGCGTCTTTTGATGCTCTCCACCCTCCATGCGCACGCCATGACCCCTGAAACCACCATACGCGCGCCCTGGCCCCCCAAACCCACCAGAACGACCGCCTCACGGGCAAGTGCGTGTACTTTGCGCGCATCAACCCCAAGGGCGTGTCCGAGAAGACCTGGGACGCAGACATGGCGGCCGGCGACATCGTGGGCCCGGGGGCGCTGGGCGCGTTCAGGGCGTTGGTCTCAGACATTTACCTGCCCCTGCTGCAGGCGAGCAAATTCGGGTTTGTAACAAGCGCAGGTGGAGGGCTGCGCAGTCGGCTGCAGCTGCTGCATGAAGGAGCAGCAGCTGCTGCTCCTTTGTGTGCGTGGAGGTTGATGGCATGGGGTCAATTCGCAGACGGCTCTGGGCTGCGCACAGCGCGGTGCCTGTGCACGGCAGTGTCACCAGCTGTGGCGAGCTCCCCACACATCTGCTGACCCGCGCTCCTGGCGATGTCCCCAATGGTACAACCACAGGAGCAGTCCGGGTGGGGCAAGATGCCCCAGGACCACACGAAGGAGTTCCTGGAGGGTGCAGGTTAGAGGGGTGTATGTGTGTCATTGGAGACGCCGCTGACCCGCCGTGCACGCAGCGGTCTTGAGTGAGCATGGGGCAGGCACAAACACAGCATGAAGCCCAAATGCAGGCAGATGCAGCTGCGCGCACCGGCAGCCGTTTTCCCGTGCGGCGCCAGCAAGTTCTCCCTTGCGTTGGCTCGCCCGCACCGCAGGCAAGTTCGGCGCTGTGCTGACGGAGGCGGTCAACTGCCTGGCGTGCGGCATAGAGCTGCGGCGCCCTGACGAGCGCCTGGCGGCGTTTGAGCCGCGCCCGGGGTCGTACACCGCCGCGGCGGCCGACCCAGAAGCCAGCAAGGCAGCGGAGGACTGCCTGGCTGAGTGGTGCCGGCAGGTGGAGGAGCTGCTGGCGGCGTCAGAGAAGGTGGCGCCTGGTGGGTGTGAGCAGATGGGCATGGGGCCGACGCATGCAGCCGCATGGCAAGCTGCCTTATGGCTGCTGCGTCGCGAATAGGAACACGCATGATGGCAATGGAAGGCCGATCATTTAATCTGCGAGGGTTGCAAGGACGCAAGCAGGGGCAGCCGACAGCCCGGCGCAGGAGCTCGGCTGATTACCCTGGCTGGAACCCTCACGCATGCAGGCGACGAGCCGGGGCCGGACACCGAGCTTGAGTACTGGCGGCAGCGCATGGCCAAGTTCAACAGCTTGTTCGAGCAGCTGAAAGCACGGGAGGCGCGGATTGTGCTGGGCACCTGCCAGATCATGCGCAGCCCCTCCAACAAGCGGTGGAAGGTGAGCGGGCGCAACGGGCGCTGTTGTTCATCCTGAAGTGTCTTAGGCTCGCGCAATGTGCATTGGGCCAGGTCTGGTATTGCTGACAAGGATGCTGCTGCTTGAGTATTTTCGCTAGGCTGCTCCACCCCTGATTCAGGTGCTCGCCCCGCACTGTTCACTGCGCCGCAGGCCCTGGAGCTGCGCGCCACGGACGCCACCAACGAGGCCAAGGACAACGTGCGCTACCTGTCTAGCCTCGAGCCCAGCCTGGAGGTGCGAAGTCAGATGCGCCAGCGCCCAATGCCGTGTTGTGCGCCGGCTGGGTCCCTCTGCATCCTCGGGCTGGCCACAGCGGGCTAAGCTTGCGGCAAGCTTGCTGGCAGTGCTGTGACCGCAGCGCCTCACGCCGCGCCGGCGGTGCGCGCAGGTGATGTACGGTGGCGCGGGGCCCGCAGCAATCAAGGAATCCCTGCGCGGCCTGGTGGGCACCTGCTGCACACTCTACCGCATCGCGCGCTTCTACGGCACGCCGGAGCGGATGACGACGCTGTTCAGCAAGATCACCAACCAGATGATGCGTGCCTGCCGGTGCGGGTCGAGCGGAAGGGGGCTGCGGCAGTCCCGTGAGGACTCTTACAACGCGCACTGTGTCGTCTGCGTTGTTGCCTTGCACGACCTCAACTGCTGCTCTTGCTATTACCATTTTTCAAATGCTGATGCGTTGCCTGCGCTATGCCATTGAACCACGCCCTGGTCGCCGTTCCCTGAAACCCCCCACTTCCAGCGAGTTCATCCTGGAGCCAGGCAAGCTCTGGGAGCAGCCCCGGCAGCACCTGATCGCCAACATGCGGGTGCGCTGGCGCACGAGCAGCATCGGCTCCTGAGCGACGGCACGAACGGGATGCCACTCCTGCCTACTTCCTAGATCCCGGCAGCGCTGCACCGACCGGGCGGGGGTTGCTTCTGGGCAGGACCGAACCCACCACATGTGCAAGCTGTCCCCCCTGCCGCCAACTATTCACTGGGCCCATCCGTTCCACTGGGCCCCTCCAATGCTCGACCTGCCAGGCCGCCAAGGAGCTGGCTGACGCCTACAAGGCCACGTTCCTCGCTGTGAGGGACGAGATGGCGCGGGATGCCGACGACGGCAAGGTGAGCGGGCAGCAGCGGCACTCCCCAGCATACACATGAGGAGGCTCTCACGCGCCGACAAAGCTGCCGCAGCAGGTGATCTTGCACGCGCCGAGCACAAAAGGCGTTCTTCATGCGGCCCCGGGCTAGCCCGCCCGCACCTGCTCGAAAGCCGCCACGCACGTGCACGCACTGCCCGCCCCATCCCCCAGCGGCTGGAGGTGGACGAGCGTGCGGTATTCCTGAAGTTCGAGCTCTTCGCCAAGCGCCTGGGCAAGCTGTGCGACATGTTCACGTCCATCCACCAGATCAGCGGTCTAGAGCAGCACACGCACATCACAGGTGAGGCTGCCTCGCTTGCGCTTTTGCGCTGCAACGCGCCTGCTTTGCTCCTTGCTCGTCCTGCCGATGCAATCCCGTGTTTAGACGCGTCACCTCCACCCGCCCTCCACACCTGGCGATACTCAACGTGCTGCTGAACGCCAGGCCTGGAGGCCGTCCTGCGCAGCTTCTACCAGATCGTGGACGACATCAAGCGCAAGCCCTACGACCTACTTGACTACGCCAAAAACACGTTTGACCGCGACTTCCTGGAGTTCAACGTCAACATACACGACCTCGACAGCCAGATGCAGGTGGGCCGCCCCACCCCCCTGGCGGCTGCTGACATACGTCTTGCTCCCACGGCCCGGCTGGGCTCGCCAGCAGGTGCTGAGCAGGTGCCCTGCTCGGCCGTCCTGCAGCTCCCACCTGCACCTGATTTGTGGTAGTATCAGGGCACTTGTAAGGCCTGCTTACTGCACGACTACGCCCGTCGTCCCCCCTGCAGGCGTTTGTGGACGCGTCGTTCGAGCACATCACATCGACGGACCACGCGCTGGGCCTGCTGGCGCAGTTTACGGAGGTGCTGCAGCGCGATGCACTGCAGCAGCAGCTGGAGGGCAAGTGGATGGTGCGGGGGCCGGCGCTGGGGCTGCGGCTGTGTTGCTGGGGGTGTTTCTTGTGTTCAATGGGATTGGATGCGCACAGGTATACGAGCAACTCTGGGTAGCTCCTGTTACCACCGGGTGACTAACTTCATGGTGACCAACCTGCGCTGCAGTCCGCGGGGCATGCGCACCTGGCGCCTTTCGTGCCACCCTTCAGAATGCGTCCCCAACAGTCGCGCCCTGTGCTGCTTGCCCTCCCGGCCCCCCAGGTGATCTTCCAGCACTATGCGCGCGACCTGGAGGCGGTGCAGGCCGCCTACGAGGCCAACAAGCACAAGCCCCCGCTGCCCCGCAACGCGCCGCCCATTGTGAGCACCCGTTTTGCCCTCCCAGCCCCTTCCCCAGCCCCGCACTTGCCTGTGGGCCAGCAATTTCTGTTTGCGTGTGCGGATGGTGCCCACTGGAACGATGTGTGTCACGCAATTCATCTCGAACACCTGGATGCGCTACCCCAGGCCGGAAACATCATGTGGGCGCGCCAGCTGCTGCGCCGCATCGAGGCGCCCATGCAGCGCTTTGCGAAGAACCGCGGCCTGATGGGCAGCAAGGAGAGCAAGCGCGTCATTCGGCTGTATAACCGGGTGGCCAAGGCGCTGGTTGAGTTTGAGGCGCTCTGGCACGCAGCCTGGCTCAAGGTGCGGGGAGAGGGGCATGCTGCATTGTACCTTCATGACGCATGTTTCCTGGCTGCTATTTGCAGGGATCAGGTGAACATTTGGCTGTTCGTCATGTTGTCACAATCAGGCCGCCGCCGTCGCACTCCTGTGCACCTGCCTCAACCCTTGCTAAATCACCCTGCCCCGTCATGCGCTCCCCAATCGCGCCCCATACCGCACCGCCCCGTCCCACCTGAGCCCAGGGCATTGATGCCCAGAAGGCGGGCTTGGCGTCGCCCCTGCTGGTGCGGCACCCCGACAGTGGGCAGCTGCTGGTCAACCTGGACCGTGACGTCATGACGCTCATCAGGTCGGCCAGCTTGACTGGGTCAAACATATGCAAATGATTCATCAAATCTTATGCTAGGAGCTTTGAATGCGGTGCTCAAGGTTTGGCCATCTAGCTTGCAAATCTTCTTTTCTGTGCCTGCACGCTGCTAGAAGTTCAACGCATGTACTCACTCGCACCTGCTTTTGCTCCCCCCATTCTGCCACTTTCCCCCATTGTTCAGGGAGGCCAAATATCTGCAGCAGATGGAGGTAGCCGTCCCCGAGAGCGCGCGCCTACTGCTGCTGCAGGTGAGGCTAAATTTGCTTCTGCTAGACCCACGCGGCACAGTCTCCAGCACGAGGTTGTAAATGCCAACCATCTTGCAGCGCGACTGGTGTGGCCATGGCTGCTTCGGTATGATGCTGCTGGGGCAGTAGCCATCTGGTTTGTAGCTTACATCCCCGATTGTCACCTCCACACACGGTCTGACGATGTTGTCTGTGCTGCAGGAGGACAAGTTCAAGTTCTACTTCTCGCAGCTGAGCCACGTCGTGAGGGAGTACGAGGCTGTGATGGCAAAGGTGGGGGCAGTGACCAAGCCTGCACCCTTCCCTGTCCGGCTTCGACGCAGCATGCAGCTTTACGGGAATTGAACCTTTCCTGCCGGCCTGCCAGGCATCCACGGCGGCTGCAAACCATCACGATCAAATCGCATCCTGGACCCCCTGAACCCTCCTCTGCTGCCCAGGTGCCCCCTGTGTTCAAGCCCCTGCTGCGGCCGCACCTGGAGGACATGGAGCGCAAGGTGGCGCCCGGCATGTTTGTGCTGACCTGGACTAGCATGAACATAGACGGCTACCTGCACAGATTTAAGCAGGTGGGGCTGAGCCTCTGGTTTCGCGGTGTGCATGCACGCAAATGTGTCGTGGACCGAAATGGCTAGTTTTTGTCCTGCTGGGCAGGTTCACCAGCAGTCTGGTTTGGGACAGAACGGCTCTGAGGCTGTCTCATTCCTGAAGGGACACCCTCAGGTGTAGGGCTGGGAGGCGCACATGCCGCTGCGTTGTCATCCACTGCCCCGCTCCCCAGCCCTTCCTCGCTAAAAAGTTCAGCACGGCATGTAAGCCCCTCACCCCGTCGACCCACGCCGGCCTTGTCCTGATGCACACCCTGAACCCACCCTCGTTTATCCGCCCCTTGTTCCTCCTCCCCCCCTGTTCTCACCCCAGGGCCTGGCGCGCCTGGAGGAGCTGGTGCGCAAGCTGACAGACCTGGTGACGCACCGCGTGGAGGCCAACCTGGACGCCATTCGCAGCACACTGCTGGTGGACCTGCCCGCGGACAGGTCGGCCGGGGCTGGGGCCTGGGCACCTGAACGCACTGGTGGCTGTGAATGCTGCAGAGGTTCCATGCTGAATGACGCTGGGCTGTCAGGGCAAGAATTTGTGTCTTCTGACTTGCTGTGTCTAGCAATTCCAGTCAACCCCATTCATCCGTCGCATGTACTTTGGTCGCTTTGCCTGTGGCTGGGCCTGGATGGCGCAGGTCGTTCACGTATGAGGAGTTCAACGCGTGCCAGCAGCGCCACCAGAAGAAGGCGGCGGAGGGACTGGCGGTGCGCAACGAGGAGGTGCTGCGCAGCATAGAGGACATCATACAGCTCGTCAGGTGCGACAAGAGGTTGTGGGGACCCTGCAGTCGTTTGCTGTTGGATGGTAGCAAGGGGCTCGCTGTTGGGCGCATGCGGCGGTATCAGGAAGCCCAGGGGTCACGAAGGTGGCTAAGCGGTTGCGTTGCGTACGTTTGGGAACCAGGGCGTGAGGCGACCCATCGGAATCTCATCAGGGGGCCGCAAGGCGGCTGCGAGCGTGGGCGCCGTGTCCAGCTGCAAGATATGCTGAGCAGGGGCTGCCGTCCGACCCTGCCCGCCCGGCGTAGGACGTACCCCCGCGAGAACCCCCAGTGCGTGCTGGACGAGCACGAGGTGGACATGTTCCGCGCCTATTACAGCGGCATCATGTACAAGGTGGGCGGTGGCGCACGGCTCCATCCCGCACGCTCGTTGTGCAGATCTGAGGCTAAAGAGCAGGCGCACCAGGAGGGTGTGTGCTCAAGACCAAATGTACAGTGTGTGCGGAGCCTCCATGGCTCCGCCTGCGACGCCATCAGCGCGGGCTGAGTTGCTGCAGCACCACTTCCAGAAATCGCTGCCGGACCCCACCTGCCCGCCTTCCGCAGGCCATCCTGGCGTCGACTCAGCGGTCGTTTGCAGCGATCAAGCGGCGCGTCGGCAGCCACACGTCCACCGGGATATTCTTCATGGAGCGGCCCTTCTTTGATGTGGACGTCGAGCTCAAGGTGGGGTTGGGGGCAGGGAAAAAGCGTGGGGGCTGCAGTTTGAAAGAGTTGGGGCGGGAGTTTATGGCAGTCTGGGGACGGCAACAACGTCTTGATTCCACTCCGATGCTTGCAGGGTCCCTACATTTTGGGCGACCCCGGGCTGAGTGGGGAAGCACGTTGCTCGCAACAGTAGGGATTTGCATTCTGCAGCTTGCGCTGTCGACGCCAGAGGCACGCACTGCTGCGAATCCGTTGCGTGCTCTTTACGACGTGCGATCCTTGCACGCCTGACCCCGAACCGGCCCCTAGGTGCCCAACGTGAGCATGAACCCGACGCTGGAGGCCATCCAGGAGGCCATCAATTCCACCGCCAAGACCATCCTGCAGGCAAGTACCAGCTTTACAGCTGCCCACATTGGTCACGGCCCTTCCGAACGAGCCAAGAAACCATACCGCCCGACGTCTGATATATGGAGACATTCTAGCAGGTGGTTGCCTCTATTTCTTGATGCACTACCTCACGGTTGCCCTCTATGCGCCCACTCCTGCACGCATGTGCGGCGCACTCCTCCAGGCGTCCAAGAAGCTGCGCTGCTGGGGCCAGGGCCCCGGCGGGCCCGCCACGTTCCATGACATGATCGCGCGCGACAAGGAGGTGGTCAAGAGCGTGCTGCTGCTCACAGGGTCGGTGGAGGGCATCAAGCACCAGGCGGGTGGCGCTGCGGAGAGCGTATCGGGGCACGTGTGCCATGGTGCTTTTGGGGGCAATGCAGGGGTGTGTGCTCCCGTGCCGCAACGGGGGGATGTGCATGGCAAGGGTGGGGGAAGCTGGCTGCAGGCCGGCCACCTTGGGAGCAGGAACGCATAGTCACACAGCCAGCTGCAATGAGTCAGACCTGCTTGACAGTGCGAGCAGCCTGCCGACTGCTCCTCCAGCGCTGTCACGAATGAGCCATTTTCTGATAGGTCCTGTTACACCCCTGCCCCACCCACCGCCCTCATCGCCCCGCAGGTGTCTGACTACATTGCAACCTTTGACAAGTACAAGTTCCTGTGGACACAGGACCTGCAGGTAGGGTTTTGGGTCTTGGCAGGCGTGAATGCATGTCACGGTTGGGATGGAGGGGGCAGATGTGGGCAGGGTGGGGTTGCTCGCACAGGGAAGAGGGGTGGAGGAAGGTGCAGAGTTTTGTTGAGGAACAAACATCGGCGGAGAGCCAAGCTGGAGCCCTGAACCCGCTGGCCTTTGTCCCCCCACCCCTCTCCAGGCTACGTACGACGCGTTCATGCGCACCCAGCCCAACCTGGAGGCGTTCGAGGCCGAGCTGCGCAAGTACAACGCTCTGGAGCTGGAGATCGCCGCGATACCCACGCTGCACAACATAGGTACAGAGTTGGGAGGCGGGGGAAGGGCCGTGCGTGGACGTGCTGCGACCGCTCCAAGGATCCCTGTCACTGGTCGCGGCTTCAACATGCTCATGCAGGGGCATGCTGCACACCCTTCAGAAAGTGACACGGCAAGATGCCCTTGCAAAGTCCAACTGTCTCAAACCCCGCGTGCAACTGCCTCACCGCCTCGCTTTTGCCCCTTGCCCATGCCCAGGGTCGCTGTCGCTCGAGACTGCGCCCCTGAAGAACAGCCTGCGCAGCGAGGCCGCGTCCTGGAAGGCCCAGTTCGCCCAGAACCTGCACCGCCAGTGCTCAGAGGACCTCAAGGCCTTTGACAAGTGAGGGGGGGGGATGGGACCGGGCAGCTGGGGCCAAAGGCAGGCACCTGGGGCCACTTACTACGCGTTGAACGCCAAAATCCGCGATGGATTTTGTTGGTCAGCGACTTCTTAGTACAGGTCGACCCCGGCCCCTGCCCGTATGACTCCCGATTCAGCTGCATACCGTAAGCAATTCGGTCCATCAGACCCTGCGCACCCGCCCTCGCCGCCGTGACGCCCCGCCCGCCGCCCCCAACCGACGCGGTCCCCCGCCCCCGTCTGCGTCCGCGCCCGCAGCTACATCCGCGACGCCACGCTGCGGCTGTCTGGCAAGGTTGAGGACCTGGAGGACGTGAGGGCTGTCATGTCGGGGCTGGAGGAGGTGGGCGGGGGCCTTGCTCCTGGCTGTTCTTGTGCATTGGTTTCGCACGCATGAGTTGATCGTCCACGCGCGCCGGCAATGTGCGTGTGGTTCTTTGGTTGCCCCGTGGGTTGCGAGCTTCTGGGTGCTGGGCCCCTGGGATGCTGCCAGAGCCGGGCTTTGATGACCCCATAATGCGTGCCTGGTGATGTGGAGGAGCATGGCCGGGGCGATGAGGGTGCATGTGCTGTCCATCAAAATGTGCAGGTGCGCGAAAAGGAGTCCAACATCGACGCGCTCATATCGCCAATAGAGGACATGTACGCACTGCTGCTCAGATACGAGGTGAGTGGCCTGGGCTGCACCGCGCTGAATCAGAAACCGGGGCGCTGCCAACAACGCATGGCGAGGCTCCGGGTCTTCTGCAGTGGACAGCGCCTGCAGTGTCTGGCACGCAGCTGTCTAATTTGGCGATCCCACACGTCCTCAAACGCCCATCGAATTGTTGTCACTCCAGACTGACTGACCCGCCGCTCATCTGCCCAAACCCCCCGCTGTTTCCCCTGCCCGCAGGTCCGCGTGCCCAAGGAGGAGACCACCCTCGTGTCAGACCTGCGGTACGGCTGGAGGAAGCTGCGCAAGATGGCCACAGACGTGTCGGACAACCTGGCGCGCCTGCAGGTTGGGAATGCCGAGGGGAAGATGCTCGGCCTGCGTGCGTGCGCAACATAGCGGTGTCGGCAGCTGCGTCGCACCCACGGCTTGGCGGCATCAAACTTACCAGTTGCTGCACAGAGCCCTGGTGCAGTCAGCGAGTGTAGGCACGGCCGCCAACCCCATCGCCCACCCCTGCACGTAAAACC